ATTTTCCTTTTTCAATTAAGAATAGGAGTCATGATGTCTAGTCAAAAAGACTAAAAGAACTCTTGAAAAAAATTCAATGTAAAAAAGGCAATTAAGATGGCAAAAAAAAACTCATTGCATTTCCCAAACTATATTTATAACAAAATTACATCAGAAATGCAAATTACTAATACCACTACTGCTAACTAAAAGTAAACCTAACACCAAGACCACTGCATTTCAACACAGTCTAGGCCTCCTTGGGAGACTTGGGATGAGAAGCCTTATGTTCGCCAGTAGTTGATTTCTTAGGCAACAGAACAGGGTTAATGTTTGGAAGAACACCTCCACTTGCAATTGTAACTCCTTGTAGCAATTTCCCTAACTCCTCATCATTCCTCACTGCCAAAAGCACGTGCCTTGGGTTGATCCTGTTCTTTTTGTTGTCCCTCGCCGCATTCCCAGCCAGTTCCAACACCTTTTTCAATGCCCAGAAAAACAGAACAGAGTAAACAAAATACCCAAAATCTAAAAATCAAAGAGACAAAAAAAAAAAAGAAAAAAAAAAGCACACACAGAGAGATTTTTTGGATCTGAAAACACAAACCCAAAAACCATCCACACAAAAAGACTTTTGGATCTAAATAAAATAAAAGAAACTACAAACCCAAAACAGTTTTGATACTTTTTCGAAGAAACGCTATTAAAAATCTGTTTGTGAAAACAGCGATATTGGGTTCTGTATAAAAACCAGAGAAACTACAAACCCAAAACAGAGTTTTCCTTTTTGAATGAAATCGTAAAGGCAACACAAAATGGTCAGATTCGGTTGATATGCACCTCAGCAGCGAGGTATTCAAGAACAGCGGCGAGATAGATCGGAGCTCCGACACCGGTACGCTGAGCATAGCGACCCTTCTTTAAAAACCTCGCAATCCTTCCGACGGGAAACTGAAGTCCGGCCTTCACCGACTTCTGGACCGCCTTCTTCCTATCTCCGCCTCTCCTTCCCCCTGCGCCCTTGGTTATCTTCCCAGACTCCATTTCGAAGAGATTGATCTCTCTGGAACCCTAACAAGTTCTGAAACGTAGCGTTTCGAAAGGAAATTGTCAAACTTATAAATTCGGAGAGCGTTGGAGAGAATGGTTAAGATGTGAACAACTTTGGATGTGAAAATCGGGAATTTATAGCTCGCAGGTATGTTGGTAAGTTCGGGGATTGAATAGTTCGGTGATAGGATAGAACGGTCACGATGTGTGACATGCTGGCGATCCGAGAGTTCTTGAGTTTGAGCCAATGGGGTTGTTTCTCGGAATAAACACTTGGGAGGGCCCCGATGGTGATCTAACGGCTGAGGTACGAGACATGCTGACAATCTGCGGATTTCTGTATTCACCAATGACATTCCTTTGCTTTGAGTTATTTAAATGGATCACTGGCACCTAATCCAGCGGGCATGATTGGCTGGAAGTTACAGTAAAAAACTTGTGGGTAAATTGTACAAACGGTTCCTTACGTTTAATGTTAGTCATAATCAATTTGATTCCCAACTTTCAACAAATGAGATTCTACGCACTAATTGCTATTCAAAAAAGTGACGAAAATGTCATTTGTCTGGTACGTGAGAGTATTAAGGAACATGTTTGTCATTGTCCTTTCAAGGCACTGGACATAAATGAAAAATAAAATAGTCTCTAAAAAATTAAAAAAATAGCATTATCCTCACCATTATCGGCAGCCCCAATACCAGAAAACACCCCCCACCCAAAATAGATTCAAAAAAAATTGTCAGCAGCTCAATACGCCCGACCAGATACCCTCCCCCACCCTTCCCCTAAGTATCCCTAAGCACTGGTGACCATTCTTAATCATCACGACCACCTCATATCTCTCCTCTCTCTCTCTCTCTCTCTCTCTCTCTCTCTCTCTCTCATCTCTCTCTCTCTCTCTCTCTCTCTCTCTCTCTCTCTCCGAGACTCAACTGTTAGAATTAGGGGTGTCAATAAATCGAAGCGAGGTAGGGGTATAATCTTTATCCCCGTATCCGCTTCAAAAACTTTCGTCCATCCCTTATCCACTCCCACTAACGGATATAATTTTCATCTCTATTCCTAAATTTATAATTTTCGTCCCCGTTTCCCTTGTACCCGCCCAAGCACAAGTAAAGTCATAAGAATTAAAATAGTTTAATTTTTTTTTGTTGCTATGATCAGAATAGAATATGTAACAATATAAAATTGTGCCTTCTTTTCTTTGCACTCAATTATGTTGAAACAAGAAAAATTATTCTGAGAGATAATTAACTACAATTTCATGTAAATTGTTGTGGTCTGTTTCAACAAGGTTAATGTTCCAAAAATATTTGCTAAAATGAAAAAAGAAGGGAACCCACAGATATGTCATCTATGTGTTCTAAAATTATGACATCCATTAATGACATCACACATGGAATGCAAGTAAAGGATGATAAAAGTCAAATGTAAAAGGTATTTATGGTTTTGGAACTTTATTTATTTTGATGAACTCCTCTTTAATTTGTAAAAAAATACAAAATGTAATGAAGAAGCAATTGATCAATGTAATGACCTATACATGATTTTATCCCAAGCCAAATTGTTCTCTCAGTAAGTAAAGAAGCTTATACGTGATATATATATATATATATATATATATATATATATATATATATATATATATATATATATATATATATATATATATAAACGGGTAACGGGGACAGGGGCAGGGGTAAGGGTAAGTCCATCCGCGATCCAAATAGGACGAATTTAAACGAATATTCATTTTTTCCCGGTCCACTGTCATCCCTAGTTAGAATCCATCTTCCATTGTTGGTATCCATCACCACCATCGATCCTCTAAATGACTCAATCTCTCCCCCTTCCTCCCTTTTCCCTCTTATCTTCTCTGTGCCTCACACACAAATACAATACAAAATCTTGCTAAAACTGACATTTGAGCACCTCCTCCCTCAACCTATGACATAACTACCTCTCCTCCTAGTGTTAGCCTTACCCCTAGGGAAGTGAGGTGATCGCCAAGGGTTCCCATTTGCGTATATTTATCAAAATTATATGAATAAATTTTAAAAAATAAAAATTAAGATATTTCATAAAATTATCAAAAAGATTTTAAAAATATTATTTTGTAAATCATAAATATATGTACATGCAAAAATAAAAAAAAAATATCACCCCACATTCTTGTACAAAATATTACAAGATTTTAAGCTCTTATTTTATCTGAATTTACAATAACTCAGGCCTATTTATACAATTATATTTTCGGACCTATAATTTCTAAGCTAAGTTAATTTTAATTTAATCAGTTACATAATGTATTTTTTTTACAATTTATTTTTCACCTTAAATATATCTACTAGAAGATATAAATTTAAATAAACTAAAAATAAATAAATTATGTACCTAAAAATAATTTTGGGGCCCATACAAACATTTTTCCCAAGGCCTAAAGTATTCTTGGACTAGCCCTGCCGTAAACCCACTTCCTCCACACACCTGCTCCTCGCCACTGCAGTTTTGAACCGATGTCATAAAATGGAGCTTGATTGCCCATGGAATTTATAGAAAGTCAAGTATTTTGTGTGATTATGTGTTGTGTTGCTTATGTATTTGTTTGTTTGTTTGTGTGTGTGTGAGAGAGAAAGGGAGAGAGAGAGAGAGAGAAATTATGCTTTGGGGGGAGGGAGATTGGTGCAGATTACCTAGGTGTGCGTGTGTTGTTCTGTAAATGTGTGTTGTGTCTTTGCTAGTGTTTCAGATATAAAATGAGGCAAAAGAAGGATGCATTACTTGAGGGGGAGATACCTAGAGTGGGGAGAGATCGAGAGTTAATTGGAGACAAAGAGAGATTCCTCTACAATTGAGAGACAAAAGAAGAAAATGAAAGAGAAAGGAGAAGATGTGTGTTTGGTACAATTTTACTATAGTCTAGATGAGGGAAAATGGTGTTTGGATGTAGGAATTATTACAAAATACTAAAAAAATTCAGTCACTCATGTGTTAGGCACATGATGTGAGACTCGAGCATCAAAAAAAATTTCATTTCATAAATATTATGAGTTAAAGTGTAATTTGTCAATATTTATGTGGGGGTAAAATTATAATAATTAAACTCTGATAAAGTAAGTATGTTTTAATGAAGCAATTGAATTTTTGAATTACGATGTAGTGAATGTATAGGTGAGATTTTAAAGTGTCAGGGAAGTTTGGAAGTTAAAATATTTGAATTAAAGAACAAGGGGGGAGGGTTGTGTAATTATGGTAAAAGTATGCATGAGGAGGACAGTCGGCATCACGGTGTCTCTCCAGCCTTTTTTATGGGGAAAAATAGAAAAAGGGTAGCTTATGCAACAAACGGTGGAGGGAGAAAAGAATTGGGGAAGATGTTAACTTTACACATGTATATACATACTTAGATATGTTCATTGCTGTTCTATAGTTAAGTAATAATGGATCCTCCCATGGATCAAAACCTAGTAGAGGAAGAGGGATCTCATGCTCCTAAGATGGCTGAGGAAGGTGATAGACAGCAACTAGAAGGTAAAGAAGGGGAACAAAAGAGATACAACTAGCAGCACGAGCATCGCCACCCATGCCATATTTGGAGCCACGTGGTACAATACATGAGAGGTTTATGAAATTAAATCCTCCAACATTTGTGAGAACAATTAGCCCTCTAGAAGCTAAGGACCGGATGGAATCTATCTTTTAGAAAATAGGGGCTAATGGTGAACAATAGGTTATCTTCGCAACTTTTATGTTGACAGAGAAGTGGGAGGCTACAAAATGATTATTAACTTCTCTAGTTGCTGGTGAGGGTACTCAAGTACAGAGAAAGGTTACATGGTATCAATTCGTGAAAGAGTTCAATACCAAGTGTTTTGAAGAGTCATATCGCTATGGACAAGAGCATGCCTTCATGACACTAACTTAAGGGATGATGTCAATGTCAGAGTATGAAAAACAATTTACTACATTGTGTCAGTTTGCTAGAGCTTTTGTCCAGATTGATGAGGCAAGGTGCAAGAAGCTTTAATGAGGGTTAGATTACCCGATCCGAACTCTTTTGTTAGCTTTTGAATTAACAAGTTATTTAGCTTTGGTGAATAAAGATTTAGTGGTTGAAAAGGATGTTCAATAGTCAGCGGGACAACATGAACAATTTAAGAAAGGAAGGTTTGATAGTGTATCAGGTAGGGAATTCCAACCTATGGTTCAAGTTTCAGAATCCAAGAAGCAAGGACAACATTTTTCTCAAGCTAGAGGTGCAAGGTATGGTAGAGCATCGGCCAACTCATGAGGTCAAAGTTTTTCTAGATTCTCTACAGGACAGCCAGGTAGAGGATCAGCTAGTAGTTGAGCAGGAAGTGTGACTTGCTATAAGTGTGGAGTGGAATGGCATATGGCTTGAGATTGTGGAATAACAATGTTAGGTGAGGAACGATAGTGCCATGGTTATGGGGCAAATAGGACATGTGATGTGAGATTTTCCAAGTGGGTATGCTGGAACATCATCGGTGGGTAATGTGACACTTGGTGGTAGGGGTACACAAGGAAGTGCATTGAGAGGAGGAATGGGATCTACTAGTACATCAGGAGCTCAGGGATGGGTATTTGCTATGACACAAAAAGATGATCGAGCATCTCCTAATGTGATAACAAGTATCATTTTTATTTTTGGTAAGAATGCACACATTTTCATTGACCTTGGATCTGCACATTCATTTGTTTTACTGGGAATGGATTGGTTATTTGCTTATCATGCATCGGTAGACTGTTTTAGAAAATGTTATTTTTCTAATAATAGGGGTTGGAGTTCAGATTTCAAGGTGATCAAAAGGTGACAACTAACTATTTAATTTATGCAATCAAGGTTGAAGATTACTTAGAAAATGTTGTCAGGGTTATCTAGCATATGTGAGAGATACTAGCAGAGGTGAAGTAAAATTATTTGACTTACTGGTGGTTTGTGAATTTCCGAATGTGTTTTAAGATGAGTTACT